AATCCCTCTGTACACTACACTTACAATAAAAAACGTACAGAAGAAAAAAGGAGAAAAAATGGTATGGTGTCATTGCGGTTTGGTGTTGTCACAATGAGATGATGGTGTCATGATGACAATGTGATTTCACAGTCATGATTATTGCACAAAGTATTTGTGACCCTACAATGCTATGTGTGATCACAATTTTCATTAGTTTACTATGAGGATATGGCTACACAAAGGGTCTGTGATGACACAGAGGTCATGTGTATTTTAAAGGTGCTAAGAGTTCACAATTGCTTTGCGATGTCACAATGTGATTGTGAAGGCACAACAGCAATGTGATATCACAATGGGTTTGTGATGTCACAGTGATGATGAGGTCACAATGAGTTTGTGATGTCACTATGAGTTTGTATTACTACAATGACATGTCCAATTTCAATTTCTACTAGTTCAAAATGAGGATACAATTTCAAAGAAAGAATCTGAAGCACCAAAGACCATGAACTTTTAGTCATAACGTGTGATATGCTGCCATTAGGATATTTTAGGCCTTTAGTAAGCTTATATTCTGTTTTCAAACTCATAATTCAGGCATGGCATCTGATATCAGAAATTGACTCTGACAATATGAACATTGTGACATCACATTGATAGACATCAAGAACATGGTGTCACATTGTGAACTCACAAAACTGTTAGGACTTCATCACATTTGTCTCAACACATGACTTTGGAGACAACACAATCCTTTTGTAAACTCATATCTTCATTGTGAATTAAAGACATTTGAGAATCGGCATGCCATTGTGACATTTCCAACCAATTGTGACAGCATAAACCTATTATAGTAGAAACACATTGTGATCTATTAGCCATTGTGTTAGCACAATCCCTTTGTGACTCCACACTTCCAAAGTGATATCACTAACCCACTGTGAAATTCCAATCCTCTCATACCCAATCCAGGTATGAAATGTAATACCCGAATCCAGTGTGATATCTAGATCATGGTGACATCACACTGATAGATGTTATGAGCATTTTGTAACATTCTGACAACACACACCTGTTAGGACTTCATCATTTTTGAGAAAACACATTCCTTTGGAGACATCACAGTCCCTTTGTGAGCCCATATACTCATTGTGAGTGGACAATTGAGATCATATGTGCATTTTGATGTCACTAACCCATTGTAACATCACACACCTCTTGTAAACTCATCACCAGTATGGCATCATCAATTGTGGTAACAAAACTTTATTAAGTCATCATATTCCAACATCCCATTGCCATAGTGATATCACTGTTCCAATGGTTTTTCAAAAACCTAGAATGTCCTCATAGCATTTTAGAAAATTCATGGCCTTTTATATTTCAGTCTTCTTCTGTGAACTCATATCCTCATGGTGAAATAGTAGTAATTGAAATTGGACATGTGAGTATGAGATGTTACTTCACAAAACGTTGATTTCATCACCAATGTGACATCACAAACCCTTGTAAGCTCTCATTGCCATTTGATATCACTATCACATTGTGATATCCCAAACCTATTTGGACCTCTCAGCACATTTGAAAAAACACATGGCCTTTGTGACATCACAGTCCCTTTGTGTAACTATACCCTGATTATGAACTCTTTGTGACATCACCATTGTGACATAACATTCTCATTATGACAGTATCAACTACTTTTGACATCACAAAACTACGACAAGATAGCATTATGAGATCACATTGTCATTGTGATGTTATAGACAGATTGTGAGTGCCTGGTTTTAATTTTTTTTTTGTCGGTCGTCGAGCTTGAACTCTGGGCTTGGGTTCTGTCCCTGCTCTTCAGCTCAAGGCAAGCACTCTATAGCTTCAGCCACAGCACCACTTCTGGTTTTCTAATGGTTTTATTGGAGATAGTCTCATGGATTTTCCTGCCTGAGGTGGCTTTGAAGTGCAATCCTTCTATCTCAGCCTCCTGAGTAGCTTGCATTACAGTCGTGAGCCACTGGCGCCCGGCTTTTTCATTCTTTTTCAAATTTGACATGTGTGTTGATATCAAAAACATAATGTGACCTCATAACCATTGTAACATCATAAATAAGCAGTGACATCAAATTGTCATTATGACACCTTCAGCTCATTGTGACATCACCAAACCACAATGGCATCATAGCATGATAAATCACAATGACATTGTTACATCATAGTCATAACAGTGTGAAGGCCTATTCTGTAAATTCATTCTATTTCAGAAATCCATTTTGACCATATAACCATTGTGATATCACAATCTTTTGTGACATCATTAATCTGCTGTGCCATAACAAACCAGTCCTTATAAGTTTTGTGACATGCTGCTATTGTCATATGTTAATCCCTTTGTGAGCTCATAATCTGTTTTTAATCTCATATTTCTGGTATGACATGTGATATCAGAAATCCCCTGTGACATCATACTACCAGATATCATGAGTATTGTGTCACATTGTGACATCACAAACCTGTTAGAACGGCATCACATTTGTGACAACACATGCCTTTGGAGACATTACAGTCCGTTTTTGAAATCATATATTCATTGCCAATTAATGACAGTTGAGATCTGCCATGCCACTCTGACATCATGAACCCTTTGTGACATCAAAAACTTATTGTGACCTCATCACGAGAATGGCATCAACAACTGATTGTGGTATCAAAGCATTATTTTGAAATGATATTGTGGTATTGCCATTGTGATATCATTGTCCCATTGTGCTTTTACAAACCTATATGGCCACATCACATCTTAGAAAATTCATGGCCTTTGAGGCTTCAAGCTCTTTCTGTGAACTCGTGTACTTATAACTTCTAAGGCCAAGAGACAAACCATCAAGTCACATTTAATATAATAAACCAATTTACACTAGAAGGGGTGATTACCTTATCCTGGACTGGATACCCAGGTCCAAGAGCAGCCTTGACCACCAAACCTCAGACCTTCAATGGGCAGCCCCACCCTTTCTTAATTGGTCTGCAAACCACCAGCCAAAAAATTATGATCTCCAAAGCTCCAAACCTCAATGAGCAAGGCTTTTTACTTTTCCATTCCTAGCTCCTTCGCTACAGACTTGTCCTTCCTTCCTGGTCTTTCCCTATTTCCCTTCCACCACTTCCTTCAGGACTCTCCAGTCTCCACAGGCCTGCCCTACTCTGCCCCAGTGACCACTTGCCAACCTTCGGCTCTCCATCAACTTCCTCTCTTCTCAAGTTTTTCCCTTTCTGCTGTCTCACCACTTTCTTCCATCTGGGTAGCTCTCATTTTTATATCTCCTTCCAATGCTCTGAAAATGCAACTTATATATAGGTTGTATCCCTCCTCACTCCAATGTGTCTTCTGCCTAAGAGTTTTCAACCGTCATTTCCCAAACTGCCCAATGTTCAATTACTTCTTGACAGCTCACCATGTGAGGCTTGACACCTCCACCTTTGGCGGTATTCCCCTCACTCTCCTCTGGGCCAGGCCAAGCATTTACAATGATTATTGGCTCCCATAGATAATTCTGACCTCACTGGCTATTACAGTATCCTCATAGTGAATTAGAAGAAATTGAAATTGTATATGACATTGTTATATTACTTGATGAGACATCACTAACCCATTTTGACCTCATCACCCTGGTGAAATCACAAACTCATTGTGATATCACATTGCCATTGTGTCACCATGCTCACATTGTGACATCCCAATCCTATTATGACCTCAGAAGGTTTGAAAGAAAGCATGGCCTTTGTGTCATCACAGGACCTTTGTGTACCCAAATCCTCATTTTGAGCTAATGAAAATTGAGATCAGACATGCCATTTTAACATCTCAAAACCTTTGTGACATCATCACCAGTGTAACATCACATTGTCATTATGACAACATCAGCCCATTGTAACATCATAAAACAACAATGACATCATAGAATTATGACATCACATGGTCATTGTGATGTCACAGATACAAGGGAATGTCTATTCTGTGATTTCATCCTATTTCAAATGTCGCAGGTGTGTTGATATCAGAAATAGATTGTGAACACATAACCATTATGGCATCACAATACCTTGATGACACCACATTGCCATTATATCACTAACCCACTGTCTCTCCTATCCTCATATATGTTTTGACATGCTGCCAGTGTGATCTCTGGCCTCTCTAAGCTCATAAATTGTTTAACTCATAATACTTCAGGTATGACATATGATATCAGAAATCCACTGTGACATCATGACCACTGTGACATCACACTGCCAGATGTCATGACCACTGAGTCACATTGTGACATCACAAACCTGTTAATACTCATTCCACTTGTGCCAACATATGCCTTTGGATACATTATCCCTTGTGAACTTATATATTGTTAATTAGAGACCTGGCATGAGATTGTGACATCAACATCCCATTGTGAAATCACAAATCTTTGTGATTTCATCAGCTGTATGGCATTACAGCTATTTGTGACTTCAAAACAATGCTATCTCATGTAATGGTAACATCACATTGCCAATGGGATATCTCTGTCCCATTGCATTTTCACCAATCTATTATGTCTGCATAACATTTTACAAAACCCATAGCCTTTCTGACTTCTAGCTCCTTATGTAAACTCGTACTCTTCTTGTGATCTAGTAGAATGAAATTAGATAAGTAATGGTGATATTACAAATTCATTGTGACATCACTATCCAAATGTGACTTTATCACAACTGTGACATCACAAACCCTTTGTGACATCACATTTCCACAGTGATATCACGATCACCTTGTGATATCCCAAATCTGTTGTGACCTCTTAGGACCTTTCAAAAAGGACAACTGACATCAGACATGCCATTATACCATTACATACACTTTGTGACATTATCTCCAGAGTGAGATCACATTGTTGTTAGGATACCATCAGCCCATTGTGATATCCCAAAATGACAATGACATCATAGCATTATGACATCACATATTCATTGTGAGGTCCTAGAGACAATGTGATTGCCTATTCTGTGATTTCATTCTATCTCAAATGTGGCATATAATTTGATTTCAGAAACCCATTGTGACCGCATCACCATTATGACATTACAATCCCTTTGTGACCTCATATTGACATTGTGATATCATTAATGCAATGTAACATCACAAATTTGTCTTGTCCTCATAAATTTTGTAACAAACGAATACCTTGACCTGGGCTGGATGCCCAGAGCTAAATACAGCCTCAACCATGAACCCTCAGAACTCCACAGAGCAGCCCAGCCATTCGTTAACTGGTCTTCAAACAACCAACTCCTAAAATAATGATCTCCAAAGCTCCACATTTCAAAGGACAAGGCTTTTTCTTATCTCTTCATCCTCCTTCACTACAGACCTGTCCTACATTTCAGGTCTTATTTTTTTCCTTCCACCATTCCCTTCTTCTCTTCAGGCTGTTCTACTCTTGACAGACCTGCCCTGTCCTATCCAGGTGGCCAAGTGCCATCCTTCAGCTCCTGCTCTCCCTCAATTTCCTCTCCTCCCAGCTCTTTACCCTCCTGCAGTCTCATCACTTCTTTCCTTCCAGGTCTTTCCCCTTTTTCTGTCCCCTTCTGTTGCTCTGAACATGCAGCCTATATATAGGCCGTACCCTTCCCCCACTGCAATATGATTCCTACATAACAGTTTTCAATCATCACTTCCCAAATGTCCATACCCAATCATTTCTTGGCATCTCACCATGTCGGGCTTGACATCCTATCTCCTTCAACAGCATGTCTTGCCCCTTTCAGCGGCACACACCCCTCTCTCTAGTGGTCCAGATCAAGAGGCCATGATGACTATCTGTTCCCGTGGATTATACGGGCACTGATGGTTATGACAGTGTCTTCATGGTGAACTAGGAGCAATTGAAATTGGACAAATAATTGTGATATTCCAAACTCGTGAAATAACTAACCAATTGTGACCTCATCACCACTGTGACATCTCAAACCCATTGTGACATCACATTGATATTTTTAACACCAGGATCACATTGTTACATCCCAAATCTATTACGATCTCTTATACATTTTCAAAAAATACGTAGCTTTGTGACATCACATTCTCTTTGAGTACTCAAATCCCGACTGTGAAATATTGACAATTGAGAATCACATATGACATTTTAACATCAAAAACAGTTTGTGAGTTTATCACAATTGTGACATCACATTGTCATTTTGACAGCATCTGCTCGTTGTAAAATCACAAAACTAAAATATGGTAGATTTATAACTTCACATTGTCATGTGACATCATAGACACATTATGAAGGCCTTTTCTGTGATTTCATTCTATTTATAATGTGCCCTGTAGGTTGATATCATGAGCAAATCAAGAACTCCTAACCATTGTGACATCAAAATCCCTTTGTACATCACTTTTCCATTGTGATATCTCTAACCCACTGTGACATAACAAACCCATCCTGTCATCATAACTTTTGTGACATGCTGCAATTCTAATACCTTTGGCTTTTTTGTCCTCATAATCTGTTGTCAACCTCATTAGATTTCACATATGACACTTGATATCACAAATTCCCAGTGACATCATGACCATGGTGATATCACACTGCCAGATTTCATAACCATTGTGTCAAATTTTAACATCACAAACATTTTAGGATTTCAATATATTTGTGACAACACATACTTTTGGAGAAACCATAGTCCCTTTGTGAACTCCTATACTTATTGTAAGTTAAAGACAATTGGGAACCATCATGTCATTGTGACATGCCCAACACATTGTGACATCACCAATCTTTTGTGGCCTCATCACCAAATATGACAACAACACAATATTTTGACATGATGTAGTGAGTTGACATTGCCATGATGATATATGTCCCATTGTGTATTCACAAACCTAATATGACCTCATAATTTAAAAAAAAATTCATGTCCATTAGGACATCAAGATCCTTCTGTGAACTTGTATGCATATTGTGAAATACTAGCAATTGAAAGTGGACCTGTGTTTGAGATATTACAAAATCATTATGACATCAAAAACCCTTGGTGACCTCATCACAACAGTGTATCATAAAGCTATCATGACCCTGAAGTACCTTTGAAAATACACGTGGCATTTGTGACATCACAGTCCCTTTGTATGCCCTCATTGTGAACACATGACAATGGAATTCATATATGCCATTATAACATCACCATTTGTGACCCCATCACAAGCGAGACAACAAATATTCATTATGACACCATTATGTCTTTGCTACATCACCAATTTATAATGACCTCATAGCATTATGACATTATATTGCCATTGCAATGTTATAGACACATTGTAAATGCCTATTCTCTTAGTTCATTCTATTTCAAATGTGGCATGTGGGTTTGTATGAGAAAACCATTATGATCTCATAAATATATGGCATCACAATCACTTTGTGAAATCACAGTGCCATGGTGATATCATTAACACACTGTGATATCACAAACCTTCCCTGTCCTCATAAGTCTTGTGATGTGCTGCAATTGTGATGTCTTAGGTGCTTTATGAGCTCATAATCTGTTTTCAACCTTGTAATATTTGTTATGATATGTGATATCAGAAATCCACTGTGACATCATGACAATTGTGACATCATACTGACAGATATGCACATTGTGTCACACTGTGATATCATATTCCTCCTAGGACTTCATCACATTTGTGACAACGCATGCCTTTGAAGATACCACAGTCCATTTGTGAACTCATATTCTCTGTGATTTCATGACAAATGAGATCCTTTTTGCCATTTAGATATCACCAACAAATTGTGACATCATAGAGCTACTGTGACCTCTTACCTGTATGGCATCACCAACTAATTTTGACATCAAAACCTTTTGTGATGTCACGTGACACGATGATCATGACATCTGTCAGTGTGATGTCACATGGTCATAATGTTAGTGGATTTCTGGTATCTCATGTCATACATGAAATATGAGGTTGAAAACAAATTATGAAGGCAAAAAGGTCAGAGATATCACAATGTTAGCATGTCAAAAAGTTATGAGGACAGGAGAGTTTTGTGATGTCACATTGTGTTAGTGATATCACAATGGCACTGCGATATCACAAAGTGATTATGATGTCAAAATGATTGTGTAAGCACAAACATGTGTTTCTGATATCAACTCTCATGCCATATTTGAAATACAATGAAATCACAGAATAGGCATTCACAATGTGTCTTTGATGTCACAATGAGAATTGTTGTCATAATGTGATTATGTCAATGAGTTTGGTGATGTCACAATGAGCTGATGCTCTCATAATGAAAATGTGATGTCACACTGTTGATTATGTCACAAATACTTTTTGATGTTATAATGGCTTGTCTAATCTCAATTATCATTGGTTAACAACAAGGATATGGGTACACAAAGGGACTATGATGTTGAAAAGGCATGTGATTTTTCAAAGGAGCTAAGAGGTCATAATAGATTTTAGATGTCACAATGGAATCATGATGTCACAATGAAAATATTGTCACAATGGGTTTGTGATGTCGTGCTATGATTATGTCAAAATGGGTTTGTGATGTCATAACGAGTTTGTAACATCACAATCAAATTTCCAATTTCAATTGCAACTAATTCACAAGGAGGATACTGTAATAATCATCAGGGCCACGATAATCTATAGGGTCCGATAATCAGCCAGGCACCATCTCCTGGCCAGCTGGAGAGGACAAAGTATGCCACCAAAGAAGGTGGGGTATTCTGTGGGAGGGGCTGGTGCATTAATCCCCACCTATTGAGCTGTTGTTTCTGATGTAACAGTTGAAAACTGTTAGGCAGTTGGAGTGGAGGAGGTGTACAGATTTTTTACAGGATAATTGTTCAGAGCAATCGAAGGAAAGAGAAAAGGGAAAAGTCCTGGAAGGAAGGAAGTGGTATGATAGCACAAGGGAAAAAACCTGGGAGGAGAGGAAGTTGAGAGGGGGCAGGAGGTGAAGGATGGCAACTGATGACCCAGGCAAAGCAGTTCAGGCCTTTGGAGAGTGGAGAGGACTAAAGAGAAGAAGGAACTGTTAGAAGGGAAAAATGGAAAGACCTCGAAGGAAGTATAGTTCTGTAGAGAAGGAGAGACCAAGGGAAGGGGAAAAAAAGGCTTGCCCTTTGATGTTTGGAGCTTTGGATATCATAATTTTGGGGGTTGGTGGTTTGGAGAACATTTATTATATGTGTCTCAATGGATTCTCTTCAACTTTAGAGTTTCTAATTTTCAGAGACCTCATTGAGATCATCCATTTGGATGGCATCAGGCCCAGGGAAAAATCCCCATAGGTGAGAGTGTCAACCCTCTGAGTTGAGAGTCTACCTCGAGTTTTTGTCTCCGGAGGACCAACAAGGACAAAAGTCATTTACACTCCACTAGAGGTGCGCCTGTGCAAGCTTGCCAGCCGGTTTTGGGGACCTTCTGGAGGTCATTTATGGCATCCATGGGAAGCCATCTTGGAACTCCTTGAGAGTTCATGTAGGGTTTCTTTGGGAAGCCATCTGGAACATTATCAAGAGTACATCTGCGAATTCCTTGAGAAGCCATCTGAGACCTACCCTGGAGGTCATTTGGGGCCTTCTCCAGGGGCCATATTGGACTTTATCCAGAGGTCATCTGGTGCTTCCTCAGGAGGCCTCCTGAGACCTCTTCAAAAATAGTCATTGGGGCTTCCTTAAGAGGCAATCTAGGACCACCTCCTGAGGTCATCTGGAACTTCTTTGGGAGGTCATCTCGGGTTACCTTGATGAGAAATGTATGACCATCTTCGGATATCATGTGGGACTTCCTTGAGAAGCCATATAGGATCATCTCTGGAGGTCATATGTGCCTTTCTCAAGAGAGTTATCTGGAACCTTCTCTGGAGTTTATATGTTGCCTCCTTGAGTGGCCAACTGGGAGCTATTTGAGAGGTAATCTCAGCCTCCTTGAGAGGACATCTGGGACTTCCTTTGGAAGTCATCGGATACTATCTTCGGGAGCAATTTTGAACCTCCATGAGAGGTTATCTCGAGCCTCCTACAGAGGACATATGTGACATCCACCAGAGGTCATCTGCAGCATCCTCAAGAGGCAATCTGGGACATTCTCTCTGTCATTTGGGACCTCCTGTAGAGGTCAACATTGAGAGGTGTGGGACATGTAAGTTAAGTTTCTGTGACTATTGGTCTGTGTGTGTATGCTGATAGTTCTAGCTGTGTCCTGTATGGACCTCAGTTTACTCTTTTTCTCAGGATGGGGGAACAAGGCCTAAACTTGCCATATCCAAAAAATATAATCCCCTAGGGTTATAGGGTCACTCAGAGGAAGATTCATTGATGTACTCTCTCTCCTGTTCTTTGCCATCAGCAACTCTAATGTTAAGTCCTCCCATATCAAAAGTGGTTACTTGTACCAGCCTAAGGTGGTAAAATGTGGTAAGTTACCCTTATTGCCCTTGAGATTGGGGCATGGAGGAGACGGTGGTCAGGCCCCCTTTTTAATATATGTTCCCTTTACAACTAGTGACCTTTATAACCGGAAACAGAAAACTGTATCATTTTCAGAAAAAAACAGGGGCTCATTGCTTCATTAGAGACAGTAATTTTCACACATAAGCACATCTGGGATGAGTGTCAGCAAATTTTACAGGTGCTCTTCACCTGGTAGAAAAGGGAGTGAATCCTGCTCAGTGACTTGAAAGTTGTCCTTGGACCAGACAATATCCCCACTATTGAACCAGACCATTTGGAGCAAGTCTTTCCACATACTTACCCAAGCAGAGACTAACAGTGATTGAGGTATGGAAATGCTTTCCTATTATTGACGGGTTCGATTGGCAGGGATACCACAGTGGCTAGAAAGCCAAGTCATCAATCTAAGGTGAGTGAGATGGTACAGTTCCCCAGTGAGTACCCAAATGCTCTTCTGAAATTTCTCCAAGAAGTCTATAGGACTTATAGGCCTATAGATCTTGAAGCCCTGGAGAATCAAAGAGCCCTAAATATGGCCATGGTTACCCAGTCAGCCCCAGATATTAGAAGAAAGCTTCACAAGTTAGAAGGTTTTGAAAGAAACGTGTATTCTAAGTTGGAAGTGGTTGCCCAGTAGGTGTTTGATAACAGAGATACCCTGGGAAAAAAAGCCTCTAAGAAGGGGGGTTGAGTTTTGATAGGAGCAACAGAATAGGGATCAAGAAACCCTTGGCAAAGACAGTACAATTCATTTGCAAATGACAGTAGGGAACCTCTAGGACTAGATCAGTGTCATTATTGCAAGCAAAATGTCCAAGGAGGAGAAAGATAGAAAATGACAGGTTATGTAATCACATTAACCACCTGGAAAATGTGTTAATATCTCGGGAGTAACATGCAAAGGAACTTGGGGCTCTGAACTCCAATTGTGTTCAATTTGAAATCAGCCCTCTGAAATTAAGAAGAAATGAGGCAAAGAAAAATCCACACACTTCTATCTCAAAACACAGGCTTATAAAAGACAGAATCTCCAATATGTGCCAGTCCAAACCCACCAAGAGTTTAAAAGCACTGGACATTAGAGAAAACAGGTAGAATAATTTGACGTGAAGAAAAGATTTGAAGATATAAACTTGTGAGGGTCAAAAATGAGAAGAAAATCCTCAAAAGGAACCTAGAAAACACACAAAATCAAATGAAATTCAAGTACATTAGCCTGGGTGAGCATGAGGCAAATTAGGGGACCACAGGTCAGAGGCCGACAAAAGCACAAGACAGCAATGTTGCCATCCTTGCTAAAAACAAGTGAGGACAAGAAGAGATCCTGATGCTGCATTAACAAATTGTTGCCATGAAAATGGAGCCAGACCTAATGTATTAGGGTGAAGTACATGTATATTATAAGCTTTGAAGGGTGTCACCAGAAATTCAAAGCAACAGAAAAAGAAGGAAAAAGTAGCTAGAAGAAAAGAGGGGGAAGTGAACAGGAAAAGTGAACAGGAAAATATCAGGCTCAAGAAAGAGATTGTTACTCTTCAGAAAGAGTTATAGGACCACATGCTCTGATAGAGAATGCCAGGCAAAAGGAAAGAGCATTAGGAAGAAAAACAGAAGAGATAAACAGTTGAAAGATCTGTCGCAAAAACACACTGAAGTCGAAAACTAGAAAGGGAAACTAATAGAGTAAGAGGCTAAAAAGACTGCTGAGGTCTTCACCATAAATGTAATGCAGAAACATCTTGGAACAGGAAGAGGTGGAAAAAATACCTCCCTCTAGCACCTTTGTGAACTTAAGGGAGGAGCTGTAGAGCAAGCAAAGGTGTTTTGAGAAGGAGCAGCAGTTAGCCAGTCAAAGGAACTCTCATGTGACCCTGCGAAACACTTACAGGTTAAGGAGCTCATTGAGAAGGAGAGTGGGATCATGAAAGCAAGTTTGAGAGAAAAGGAGAATAATATGGAAGAAGTCTCCAAGGTTCAGAGTACTATACAGGAGTTAAAGAACCTAGAGACCGTAAGATACAGGGAAATATCTGAGCTGATCAGGTAGCTTGGGAGACCACTCTAAAACCAGTGTGGTCTTTAGAGTTACTAGTCATTAATATTAAGGAAAGAAACAAAAACAGTGGTAATATGTGGGCAAATGTTGACACTGGACATGTGAAAAATGTAAACAGGCTCAAGCTTTCTTTCAGTTTACGTGTAGATATTTGCACCCTGGTAAATTGTTCCAGGCAACTGCCTAAAACTGTTCAAAAACCAGTGGGGCCTCAGGCTGACAATCCTTTGTAATGTGTGTATGTAATTTCCAAACAGGTAAATGCTGAAAAGCTGGAACATATGGAAAGAATTCCTATGTGAGGAACCTCAGATGGTGAATTTGGGAAAGTGGAATTCACAGAGGCAGAGCCTGGAAAGTATGGGTATTCATATCTGTTAGTAATAGTGGACAGATTTTCAGGCTGAGCTGAGGCATGTAATAATTTCTTGATTTGGCTTTCCCTTATTTGTGGGGTCCAAATACGGCCCTGCATTCATGGCCCAAGTTCTCAATTATTAGCTAACGCTCTAGGAATAAATTGGAAGTTACAATCCATTTATAGAACTCAGAGTTCAAGGCATTTGAAAGAATTTAATTTAGTTAAATTAAATTAAATTAAATACAGAGACTAAATTAAATACGGAGACTGTCCTTGGCTATGTGAGCCTCCTCCACTTTGCTCTCCTTGGAGCAAGATATAGACTTTATGTTATAGGATTTAATCCCTTTGAAATACTTTAGGGTAGACCAACTTCTTTGGATCCTAAATTTGACAAGGCTATAGCCTTGTCTAACTACAATCTGCAGGCTTTACAACATATTCTTTTATGTACCTATCCTTTGGTAACTAAGGCCCGCCATCCACCTAAGAAAAACTCCACCTGAAGGGGAGAGGCCAAGATGGTGGTGGAACAGCAGGTAAACACCAAAGCTCTCCCCAACCAAATACAGTTTGAATTTCAATTATCAGTTTCTCCAAGTAACCCACAAAAAAGGAGATTACTCAGAGAGGTACAGTAAGTGAAAAACATAAAAGGGAAAAACCTACACAGACAGTAAAGTGGAAATAACCTTCAGCCACCCCTTGTTGGTGATCGGGCTCCAGGCTGAGCAGCGTAAGTGGTGGAGCTTCTTGCCAGGCTGCTTAAGTTGCCTAGCTCTGGACTCTCGGAGGACCACATACCCACAAGCATTCCAAGACTCCCAGAAGACTCCCATGAGCTGGTGCCAACCTAGAGAATACAAACAAATCTCAGAAGGCAGAGCTGGCATGAAGACTCCCCTCAACCTCCCTGGCATGGCGCCTCTGCCTGGCTGGTGCAAGTAGCACCACCCAGTCTGGAGCAGCAGCAGATGTCAGCAGTGGCAAACGACCCTATACTCACAGCGTGGCACCTCTGTCCTGCTGGTATAAACATCCTAACCTAACCTGGAGCAGCAGCAGCAGCAGCTGGCAGTAGTGGCAAAGCACTCAGAGTCTGGGCACAATGCTTCTTGACTCTAGCTCACAGGAACAGCCCAGACTAGCCCGGGGAGGCAGTGGTAGCTGGGGCAGGGATAGTTGCAGTGAACAACTCCAGACCCATAGCGCTTTGTGCCTCTCCATGCTTGCCCACATAAGCAGCCCAGCCCAGCCTGAGGCAACATAACTGGTTAATACCTGACTCCTGGTGGGGTAGAGGGCCTTTCCATACCGGCTTGCATAAGCAGCCAAGCCCAGCCCATGGTGGCAAAGGTGGTGAACAAACCCAGACATGAGGCAGGGTTTGGTGCTGAACAACCCCAGAAAAAGCCTCATGAACTTTCCTGCCTGGGCTAGCTTTGAACCTGAATACACAGATCTGAGCCTCCTGAGTAGCTAGAATTACAGACATTGACACCAGCAGGGTCTTACTCTTGCCAAACCCCTAACTTTTTCTACAATAGATAATTTCCTAGTTAATACAAGGAATTTAAGCAAATACAAGAGGATCAACAAAATACCCTGTATTCAATCTGACCATAGTGGAATCAAACTAGTTCTCAATAACAAGGCATAAAATAGGAAAAAACTTAAACACATGGAAATTAAACAGCACTCAGTTGAACAATACATGGGTTACAGAATAAATTAAAGAAGAAATTAAAAAGTTCCTACAATTCAGTCAAAATGAAGAAACATCACAAAGAAACCTATGGGACCCAGCGAAAGCAGTCCTGAGGGGCAAATTTATTGTTCTCAGTGCACATATCAAGAAAACAGAGATCAAGTAAACAATCTTATGAAGCAACCAAAACTGCTAGAGAAACAAGAAAAAAATTGAACCTAAAGTTGCTCGGCAGAAAGAGATAATTGAAATAAGAGCTGAAATGAATGAGATAGAGACTGAGAAAAGTATAAATAAAATTAATTTTAAAAAGCTGTTTTAAAGAAAAAAATCAATATACCTGACGTACCACTGGCAAGAGTAACTAACAAAATAAGAGAGGAAACCCATATCAATAATATCAGAGATACGACAGGGAAAATTACAACAAACATCCAAGACATTCAAACAATCATAACGAAATAATTCCAGACTCTACTCACAAAGGAAGGAAAACCTAGCAGAGATGGATGAATTTCTACAGAAATAGAAATTGCTATCCCCCCTTTCCTTTTCAGCCATGCTTCTCCACCATGTATGGTGGGGGCAGCAGTTTGGTAAATAAACGTCTTTTCCTACCTTAATAGTGTGTGGCATTCTGTTCATAGGCTACCGAATGAAACCTACCTTTTTAATATATCTTACATATGGGGCCATGACTTAGATAGGGTTTTTGATTTGGAAATGTTAGAATTTCCTAACCACCCCTTTTCTGAGAACCAAACTGCCTTGAGACACCACACGAGACTTTTCACCAATACCATTGCTGGCCTTCACATCCATGTCCACACCACTTCTCTACTCTGCTGAGTGAAACTACTCTCTATGGCTCTGTGTTGCTCAATCTCTGTTCAGATGTGGCACCATACCAGAATGCGCCTATGACCTTTGGCCAAAAGGCTGGTCACCTCTGAAGCCGAGGATACTTGGTTTTGGGGGCATGGCCATTGATCTCTAGTGGGCTATGGGAGAAGTCGGGACACTGCTTCTGCCTCGTCTTCTCTCCTTCCCTCACCAGACTGACTATCCTACATATTTAATGGGGTGTTGCGAGTCATGCCTGTGCTGTGAAACCCCTCTGAAATGCCTCTTGTGCTCCCTGGGTAGTAGAGCACGTAATATTTTTATATTATTGTCAGATTTAGACAGTTATTGCCTCTGCAATGGTACATGGTCAGAAGTCTGCTTACTATCAGGCTCTCTTTGCTCTCTGCTATTC